TGTTATTCGGAGCGGACTTCATAAGTATGGTTTACTTGTGTCCAATCCATTTTACTTTGAGTAAATAAAATATGTTTAAACTACGTCCTTACTACGACCTTCCTACGCTTCTACTACGACTAGTTTTGGTCATGACTGCACTACGAATGTTTTGAGCATGTTCAAAGTTGGTCGTGGACCTCCACGATCATGAAGGCCTCGTCACGTCCTTACTACGATCTTACTATGACTTCCAAAATTTTTCATAATTTCTGAAGTCGTAGCGGGATCGTGGTCCTAGTGTGATGGGGGTACCGGTATTAGATAGATGAATTTTTTATTAGCTGTTATTGGCGTTGAACTAGCTGTTAGTAACTGTGAGTACTCTCATATCTGTACTTTGTGTTTTTTTGTTGTTGTGAGGGATGTATTATAAATACCCTGCCACGTCCGGTTTGTGTTTTTATTAGATGTTTTTTCTGCTTTGTATCGATCTGACGAGTTAAGCTCTTTTAAAATGATTTTTATAGTTTGATATAATGTTGTACTGTAACACCACTGTCCAAGGTTAGGGGAAGGGTTGGCGCCTTCAAACATGTTTAACCCCGCCACATTACTTATGTACCTGTCCTAAGTCAGGAGCCTGTAGTTCAGTAGTTGTCGTTGGTTCATGCCTGTCATATTTTTTTTCGTTTCGTAAACTGTTAGGCCGTTAGTTTTCTCAATTGAATTGTTTCATATTTTTCATGTCGGGGCCTTTTATAGCTGACTATACGGTATGGTTTTTTTATCATTGTTGAAGGCCGTACGGTTGCCTATAATTGCTTACATCCACTTCATTTGAACTTTGGTAGATAGTTGTCTCATTGGTAATCATACTTCATCTCCTTATTTTTACTATGATAGATCAATGCCATTTGCTTTATAATAATATAAGTCTGTATGTCCGTCCTGCATAAGTTTTATATCATATGCAAGGTTAAGATTGTCTCATCAAATTTTCATTCATTTTTATGCACAGTCATATCTATAAAACGAAGTTGCTTGTTAATTTTGTTACAATTGGAAAAACATTGTTTCAAAAAACCGCAGGAAAACAGCGATCATATTCCTGACTTGGCACAGGCTTATTCCTAAGAAAATGGTGGGTTAAACCTGGTTTTCTAGCTAACTAAAACGCCCACTCGTATGACAGTTTTTTAATGTTCCGTAATATTGCCAAATCGGGCGAGTAACCCAAACAGACATATTTGGTTAACGTTGCCATAACTGGGATCCAGCAGTCAAAACTGTGTAAACATACATCACAAACATGAAACAAAACTGATTTAAACGTTAAAACACACTTACAACTAAATCAAACAAAGACGCCAACAAAAAAAGTTTTTGTAGTTGATAATGCAGTCAGTATAATTAAGCATAAAGACGTATACACTTCTCGATAAAATACAAAATAAGTAAAATATCAATACTAGGGTATACAAAATGAAAACAGCACTATAAAAACCTCATGTGAGCGAATCGCATCTGTGGACCCACCCGCATAATCTGAAAGCTGGATGTACATATATCGAACCACGGCAAGAGTCATACAACCAAATGGAATATAATAGTACAAAGACAAATACAGGTAAAACTGTAAAGTAGTTACAATTCTACACAGAGTAAGCACCTAGAATCTGTAACTCAAGACCATCCTGTATTATTTGTAAAGTAGACACGGAATTTTTATCTATTAGGTCTTGGTACTTTCCAAAGAACTTTTTGAGAAAAAGGACGAGACTTTCTTTCACTAAACCCTGGCACATTAATTTTTTGCGCAGACACTGATGACGTTTTACAAATTTAGCAGCAAGCTCCTGAATATCGTATGGGTTGAGAAATGTATAATCTATACGCGGATGAAGTTGGTAAATTGCTGCTAAGGTGATGAAAAGTTATAGTTTCAAAATTGAAATCATTTCGTTTGTCATAGATTCAGGTATAAAGTAAGTACAAACCAGGTGATAAGTCTAATTCTAAGAGTAAGTAATTACACCCTTCAACAAATTACAAGAATATCAATTTGATAAAAGAAATCTTGTTTTCTGATCATGTACCCTGGTCACGCCTTGTCTTTCACGATCAAAATAATGCGTTGCCTGATCTTTCACGATCAATTTTGCTAAAAAAATCAACAAAATTATACTTTTTTCAAAAATAATATGAACTTTTTCAAGTACTATAATTTTACTGGACATTCTGACACACTAAAGATTAATTTTTAAATATATCATGATATATTAGAATGTGACCATTGTAGATACAAAACGAGATTTTTTTTCTTAAAAATCTCATAGGATCGTGTTTCGTCTTTTGAGTTTTCATTGAAAGTACTGGATTTTTTTTTACGTAGTGCACAGCATTATTAAGGAAGTTGAATCATTTTGACAGATATATTTCTTTTTCTGATTTGTTCCACCTTTTGAAAATACAGCAGATTTTTTACAGATTTTGAAGTAGAATTACACTTAATTACATTAACGATCCGATCGCAATGCTTGACCACCGTTAGTTATTCTTTCACGATCATTTTTCTCGATATACAGAATGACACCCGTGTAACTGAACTTATTGCTCTTGTACCGATTTCGACTAATTATAGCGTGTTTATCATGAAAACTAATTATACAGACAGAAAATGTAACTGAGATCAGCAATGCAAAATCTACAAGACTATCAATGACTAAAAGCATCAATTATTGCCTTGTAGGCGTTATAAAATTACACTTAACGTATTCAGTTGTATCTTTATTCCATACGGACTCGACAGAAGCTATTACAATTTCCGAGGTCTTCTCCATAAACTATAGTTATGTATATTTCTGCATATGCATACATCAGTTGTATAGTACATAGTTTTCTCTAATTCTTTGGCAATTTATCACTTTCTTGACCCATTGTAAAAAAAAATTTAATCAACGTGTGGTTGCCGATGATCTCAAAAAATAATTGGATGAGTTTGAGGGTCAAAATCTTTATCAGCTCACAGGATGAATCGAAATGTGCAAACAGGTGTTAGAGAAATTGACAACTTTGTGGAATGTGGAAGGCACTCGAAGGAGATTTTTGTTTATCAAAAATGAAAATTTGTTTGATAATCATTAGAGAAGCAGATGCTTACATAGTTACTCGTGGATTATTATAGATTATCGTTGATCATCTCAACGAGATTGATTTTCTCGCTAGAGTCGGTACGGCGAAAGTGAGAAAAGCAATCGAGTTAAGATAACCAATGATAATCTGTTTATCGCTATTTTACCTATGACGACGTTGTCAATTTCATGTCAATTTCATTGACAACGCCACGTGCCCCCTTAGTTTCTAGCGATAATTTTTCATATCACTCGACTCCGCTGAGAAAGGAAATTATCAGTCAGCAAGATCAAACGAAAATTTCGTAAAATAGCGATAATCGTATTTATCCAATTATCAATTTTACAGTCCTCGCCGAGGCTCGGATTTTAAAATTTGATAATTTAACTATCTCGATTGGATAAATACGATAATCCACTAGTACCAATGTAAGAATCTATATATACGCAAAAAAAAATACAAACAAGAAAAGAGATAAAACAAAGATAGGATTACTATTGCATGTACTATCGTCTGTATTCTCCTATGATCAAACCGTTTTGTTGTTTGATGTTCTGTTGGACGTATTTTGAAAATAATTGTATTCTAATTATCAGACAAGTATCATCTCCAAATAAAATAGTTTCGATTGTCAATTCTGATAATAAAAATAGTGTTTCTTTTATAACTTTTCGTGATTCTATATAAATAACACACTCCTAAAAATAATGAATAGCATCTTCAATGTTAAACAGATCTAGACTCATCCAGGTGTCTCAGCAAAATTAACACGCAACAAATCAGCATTCAGACTGCTTCTACTTTGTCTGAGCCTTTAGAGTGACTGTCTCCCACATTATGAAATTTTAAAAGCTTGTGTTGTAAATAGGTAAATTACGTATAATAGCTTCAAGCTCGTTCCATTTCTGAATTATAGAGGAAAAGAAAACAGTTGCAGCCTAATATAAAAATAAGAAGATGTTGTATCATTGCCAATGAGACAACCTGAAATTTAAAATACCTGGAATTCTAAAACATCTTATTAGTTTCGTAGACTAATTTTGTATAATTTGTTTATATTACATATGCATGTATATTCAATATATGTACATTGTCGTAAATAATTTAAAATTTGTTTGTACGAGCTATAGACACATGAAGAAAAGCAAGGCATTGGTTAAAGCTCCTCTCAATCTGTGATTTTTCTATGACAAACGACCAATAGCGGGATAGGATAGAGCAAACATTTTTAAAAAAATTACTACAAATGACCGCAGTTGGTCCGGGAGCACAGTTATCGTCCCTTGATTTTATATTTATAGTCCCTAGTGTGGACAGTGTGTTACACAAATTTTTTTTAATACCCTTTCCAAATTTATTTCTTCAAGTTTTATGCATCAAATAGCAAGTGGGGGGATGCAATTACGCTGTAAAAATTGGGTCATGAGTTTTAAAGTAAAGTAGTAATTTGGTCCAGCTAAAAAGGGTTAAAAATTAGTATTTCGGAAGCTGTCAAAAGAATTCAATACCCCCTTAACATAAAATTGTCCATATTTTGAGTTAGAGCTGATGAAGTTTTCTGTAATTTTGATATAATTTGTCCCAAAAGTAGTACACCACAATGTGAAAATATTATAGAGAAAGCGCAGTTGGGATTTTTAAAATTTTTATTTATTGTTTAAAAGAAATGCACTACGAAATAACTGTGTTCTCGGGCCAGTCATCCCACCAGAAGATCAAACGGTAAAATAAAATTCGAGTCAATGCCGTCTCCAGACTGTCCGCACCGCAAAACACCTATAGTGAGCAAGTCTTATGAGTAAAAAGATTTATCATGCATTTATTAATACTTTATTAAAGTCACGTGTGGCATGTCGTCACATATTTATCTATATTTAACCTTCCTGGTACATGACAGGTAAAATATTCTAAACCGTTCAATAAATTTTCATGTAAGTTCCAAGCTTTCATTAACCAAATCACACTCAATGTTATCTTTACCTACCTTATACCAATACGGGAACAATGTTTCCTGTACTAAAAATGTGGATAATTTGCTATATTTTTTAACAATGGGGCGTCTCTTTTTGAAGACTCCGTGACCTTGGCATTAGAGACGATATAACGGTATTATATGTCTCTGATAACATGTTAAACAACTTTTCTGAGATTTTTTATTGGTGTACATTATGCAAGAATAAACTTATCTTGAGGTAGGAATGATCCTGGCTTTATAGTCACGCGTCAAACGCACGGCCCCCTCTTCATCAAATAAGCCTACATTTTTGTCGTCAATCGTCATATTATAATTATGTGCTACCGTTAGCGTCAAATGGAGATGCGCGTTGTCATCAAAGTGAATTGACTAAAAAAATTCCATTAAGGTGGCTGGGGCGTCTTAATTAGAATTTTTTAATAATTTGTCAAAATGAAGTTTTTATCATGCTTTTTTCAAAAATATAATAAAAAGTATGGGTCACCGGACTTTTTTTCACGCTACAGGTTGTGCAAAATTGTCAGATTTTGTATAGATTATGCAGGGAAAATCCAATTTTGTGTGACAAAAAGAAATTATTCCTGTAAATTGTGATTTTTTTTTCAACATGTCAAAGTAAATATCTTGTCCAAATTTTATGAAAATTAAACGAGCCAAATCTATTTTAGTCAAAGTGTTGGGTATCCCTTAATAAAGTATATAAATGTACAAATTGTGACATTGTGTATATTTACTAAAAGAAGCAAGATTTTACTTGCTGAATGAGTTCACGTGTTTATTTGTGTTCTTGTATATTTTTTTATTTCATATTGTAAAGGAAAACAACTCTTATTGGATGTTGGAAAATGATGGTTTATTGCGCAGCGTTGCTTCAAATGTTCAAATATACATAATTGTGTTTCAGTCACAGATCCCGCATTATGGTTGTTGACAAATTTTAACCGTTTTATTTTGCGCTCGAAATGTGGTCATTATTATTAAGTTGAATTATTATTAAATGAAACTATTTTACTGGCAAACCTATAAAATCACTATAAGCTGAACCATCTCACAGAACTTGTTAATTCACAAAATGATGTTTAGTCTTTACAAGGGAAGATTCAATTAATAAAGATTTATTATAACTGGATGTAGTGACGCACCCTGGACAGTAGCAATGAAGCAAAGATATTTTTTTTCTTATTTATCTGATTTTTTTTTTTTGCATTTAAAATTGAGAATGGTAATGGGAAATGTGTCAAAGAGCAGAAAACAGCCGAAGGCCACCAATGGGTCTTCAACACAGCGAGAAAATCCCGCAACCGAAGGCGGGCTTCTGCTGGCCCCTAAACAAAAATGTGTACTAGTTCAGTGAAAATGGACGTCATAATAAACTCCAAAACATATAAAGGAACTAAAATTAAAAAAACATACAAGACTAACAATGACCAGAGGCTCCTGACTTGGGACAGGCGCAAAAATGCGGCGGGGTTAAACATGTTTTGTGAGATCTCAACCCATCCCCCATTCCTCCAGCCAATATATCATACAATCTTGGTAAAAGTTTTTTAATCATTAATCATTGGAAACTTGAACATAAGCTTGTTCATAACCATGAAAAAGTATCTAAAGAGGAATTTATTATTTTCTCCGTATTTTACTGATAATTGGAGTCTTAGTTTTTGGCAGTCAACATTACATTATGGATTTTATTTGATTGAAATTTGTTGTTATAAAATTTTGGAAATCATTTTAGATTAAGGAATATAATTCCCCAATGGGTAGCTTTGATTCCGGATTTGGCTATACTTTAGGTCTTTTTTGGGTTTATCAGCTCTTCAACATTTGTATTAGGTTTTGGATTTTTAAAATTTTGCCTCGAGCATCACTGCAAATATATTAATTGTCGAAATGCGCATCTGGTGCAGTAAAAATTGATACCGTTAATGTAAATAAACTGATAGCAGCATCGCTGGCAAGACACAGTTTTCAGCAAAACATTTTGCGAAGATTTGCCTTAATCTACTTAGTTTTTACCGTCGGTAAGCAATAATAGGTCCCTTTGTGATTCGTGTTGAAATTGCTTTGCTGACATCTATATCCTAAACTCACAAAAAGTGTAAAAACACTATCATTTGTTTTTGTTGCTCAAATCTTGTAGAAATAGCCAATCTTTAATATGTTATCCTTGTAGGTTGATTGACTATACGGTATTGTTTTCCACATTGCTGGAGGCTGTTCTGTAACCTTGTTCACATCCTGATCCAGTGGACAGTTGTTTCATTTCCAATCATACTGCATCTCCTAATCTAAGGTGCCATGGCAAAAAGGACTATTTTCATCACGTTGCCGTTGTCTGTTTACTTTTACAACAATCTTCTCTGAAGAAACTACTGGCCAGGGCCAATTGGAACTAAACTTTACCACAATGCAAGTTTTGTCTATTATTTTTGAAAACAGCTGTAGATAGGGAAAATATGACGGGAGCAAAAATGCTGAGAATGAGAGGGTTGTCAACGGTCTATTTGGACAAAAAAAAATTCAGACGACTCCTTAAACGAGTTAGTTCGTTAACTACTTGAGTAATTTCCCTTACATTGCGATGTTTATTATGTTTTAAGTGTTTGCCTATCATCATTCTATCAGCATGACAAGATATGCAAATTAGTCATATGACAGAAATCATCGATCGACTCCTTGTTAGAATTATTGCCCTTAAATGACGATTTTTACATTTTTTTTTTTTTTTTGCTTTTTGCCTTTCATCTTGAAAACTTTTATAATAGAAAGAGAGACACCATACACTGCAAAATTGATAAACAAGACAGACCTACAAATAAGTCATGATCGCTGAAATCATCAGTCGACCCCTTAGAGAAAATTTTGCCCCTAAAACAGAGGCTTAAAATATCAAAGGATAATCGAACTCATTGGTCGGAGACAACTGGCAAAGCCATGGCGAAAAACGAAAAAACGACTAAAAGACAGAAAACAATCTACAAAACACAACATAGAAAACTGAAGACAGAACAACACAAACCCTTCCAAACACCAGGGGTGATCTCAGGACTCTGGGATTACGGTCATAACACTTTCGAGTACGATTTTCGTACACAGACTCAGAAATCAACCAATCAAAATCCTAAATTTGGCTTTCAAGTACAAATATTATACTCCAAGTACTGAGTTAAGTTTTAAGACCGAAATTCCGTGAAGTAAGGGTAAGAAGATCCTGATCCACATATGGCGAATTGTACCCATTTTTGCATTTTGGGACAAAAAGATAGACTTTTACAATAAAAATGATCAGCAAAAAGTGATCTACAAATTGGTCAACATAGCCGAAATTATCGATCAACTCTTTATACATGTTGTTAGGAGCAAGGACTTGTATAGTGATATACAAATTCTGATTAGGAGTTATTGCTCTGAAATGAAATTTTTACCGATTTTTGCGTTTTGATAACAAAATTAAAATTTTAAAAAACTATAGAACATAGAGGAAAATTGTAAACAGCCAAATAATCAGCAGGACTAAATCTAGAAAAATGTCAATGTACCCAAAATTATCAGCCCACTTCTTATAGGAGTAATTGCCCTAAAATGCCGATTTTTAACTTATTCTATGAGGATGAAGAATTCTATTGATTTCAGTAAGTCAAGGTCATTCGTCAAAAATAGATTCTTTTTTCAAAAATAAAGTTCCCGTTCATTTGCGTGATTGGAAGCACAGATGTAAGATATAGGGAAGGAATGAAAAACTATTGATTTTGGGGTTACTAGGTTAAAGGTTAAGGTCACAGTTACTGCAAAAAATATATAAATGGTAGCTCGAGTTTCAGTTGCTTCATTAAAATCAGATGGAAGCGATAGGGAATGGGGTAGTTTAGTATTGATTTTGGAGTCATCAGGTCAATTCCAATGTTATTTGAAAGTATATTTGTCGGTTTCAAGACGGTATCCCACTATGTATTGTACTAGTAACACACTTATACAGGTGTAAACTTTAGCAATATTAATACCTCCAAGTGTACTAGTATTCTAAACCCTTGAAATAAGATTTAAGGAATGTGCATTTTGGGGAGCATCAGTTGGCAGTGCCAGCTTAACACTTGTTTTATATTGACGCAAATAGTCTCACGATCTTTTTATATTTTATTCAGAGCGAAGACTAATATGGCATCATCCAGCACAATAACATGCGGTGTTTGTGAGTCTCAGCACACGACAACAAAGGCGGACTTCTGGTGTCCTGAATGTGACGAAGGATTGTGTTCCCAATGTCTGAAGCATCACAGTGCATCAAAAGGCACACGTAACCATGAAGTTATATCTGTCGACAACTATAAACAATTACCTCCCTCGATAGCCAATATATCACAATACTGTTCACTGCATGACAGAAAATTCCAGAATTATTGTCCGCAACATGAAAGTCTCTGTTGTCCGCAATGTATTCAGTCAAACCATGCTACCTGTAATGGGATATTATCACTGGAGAATGTCATACAAACAGCAAAGACGTCAGTTTTATTGGAAAGTCTTGATCAAAACATCAAAAATCTCAAAATTAATGTCGAGAGACTTGTTGAAGATCGGAAACAAAATCTTGATGAAATCCAGAAACAAAGGCAAAAGTTTTATGACAATATAAAACTGGTCCGTAATAAGATTAACGAACACCTTGACAGCCTAGAACAACGAATAATTCAGGACTTATATGCTGCCGAAACGAAAGTCAAATCCCAAATTGAGGACTTGCTGAGTAAACTTGCTGAAAATTCAGAAAATATAAATTCAATGCAAAAAAATATTTCAGCTATCAAAGATTATGCGTCAGATCTACAAGCATTTCTTGGGAGTAAAATGATTGAAACAGAAATTCAGAAGCATGAAATATTTATGCAGTCATTATATGACGATGGAAGTTTGCGGAAGTTGGATATAAACTGTAAAATTGAGGACAAGATAACCGACGTATTGTCAACTGCTACTTTACTAGGTGCAATATCCATCGAATCAAGCTCTCCATTGGTGGTTATGAAGAGAGAGAAAGAAACACAAGCACAGACAAGGTCTTTGAAACACGTGCCACCTTCAACTATCAATGATATAACAATGACATTACAAAGTAAATTCAACTTTCTTGGTATCACAGGATGCACCTTTTCTTCTACAGGAGACATCATCCTGATAGACTTCGATAATACACGTGTCCGAATTTTAAAGGAAGATGGAACCTTGAAGAGTGAGATAACTCTTTCACCTTCAGGCCCAGTTGATGGTACCTGTATCGATGACAAGACAGTTGCCGTTTCATGTCCTTGTTCAAATCAAATACAAATCATAAACATTTCTACTAAAAGAGTTGAACGCAGAATAAAAACGACCAGCCAATGTTTTGGTTTATGTTACAGAGATGACTACTTGTTGTACTGTGATACTGGCAGAGGTATTCAGAAAGTAGATATGGCATTCAATTGCTCTTTTACTTTGGTTGAAGACAACACCTTGTCCAGGTTGAGTTATGTAGCAACATCTAAAGATAACATATTTTATACCAATAGCTCAAACTCCACCGTAACGTGCTGCTCATTGACTGGAGAGAAGATTTGGGAATACGCAGACCAATCAGTTCCTTCTCCGTATGGGATAGCTGTAGATAAAGGCTTAAACGTATATATTGCTTCACAAAGTAGCAACAGTATATTTGTACTGTCGTCGGATGGAAAACAAGCAAGAAAACTGCTAGGACATAATGAGGGAGTTAATACCCCTTATGGACTCGCATTTGATGTTACGAAAGAAAAAATAATAGTTGTGAATAATTTTGACGCGAAATTGTACGGATTATGTTAAGATACAAGTTATGATTACGTAGGGTACAGTTTCAGAGCTGATGTTTGTCAAATATTTAAATGTCTGAAATATATTGAAATGAGAATACATCAAATATAGTATTTTTATATTCCTTATTTCTATTTTATTACTTTGTTAAGATGTAATAACATATATGTTGAAATAAATAAACGTTTTACCTGGCTTTTAAATTTCTGGTTTTGATCGCGATCGTTTCTGAGGAAGGTACATGTTGTAAATCTAGAAAAGCGCGTCGGTCGCACTAAATTAATGAATGTTTTTCTCCTTTTACCTATGGTAAGCAATATCCCGGGTTTTTTTTTTAATGAATTGCTAATATTTTTGCAATTCTACAAAAGAAGAATGATCATTTTAACTCCTTTGACCCAAAAATTCTTTGAAAATTATTTTACTTCACATTCTTTTAACACGGCCGCAATGTTTAAACAAGTAAATCTGTTTGAGTTGCAGCATATAATTCTGATAAAGATTACTACTGTCACAGGTGAAATGAGCCATCAACTTCTAACACAATACTATGATAGAGTAACATTTACCATAATCCTAAGACTATGGTACAAACAGGGTCAATTGAATATGTAATAAGTATGTGGATTTACGTAAAATAAATTTGTTACAGACGAAGTTTAAATTTGTAGCACTACTGTGATGAACTGCTGATAATTGTATTCATTAGATTCGATTAACGGATATCCGTTTCCTTTAACGTTTACTTTACAATTTTGGTTACCACGGTAACAGTGATTCGTAGGTAATTGCATAAGTAAAAGCTTTTCTAGGAAGCTCGTAATTGGATATGTAACAGATTTCCTAAAATAAAACGTAACGACGTCAAACTTTTGATATCAATGAGCAGACATCCTTTTCAATGCTACTTACTTTGCGTTCACTGTTGCATTGCCATGGGTTACATTGCAACGAGGGAAATTGCATGAGTAAGATATTTTCAAGAAAGCTTGAAATTGGACAAGTAATAGTCATTATTAGTAATAGTAATAGTGGTATTGCAACGGCTGACACATTTTTTTTTCTTAAAGGCATCGACATGACAAATTGTGAAACAATTCAAATGATAAAAAACAACGTCTTGATTTATGACAAAACAATAAAAGAAAAACACATACATGTTCGACATCCAGCAACAACTGAAACACCGCTAGATTTCAACCAAATCACCGTATGAATCCATGAATAGACACTAAGCCCTTATTAAGGAAATGCCACCAAACACAAAATTCTGTCTTTTTTTTTTTAATTCTATCGATTAAAAAAACATTTTTTTTTATAAGATCAATCACATAGAATGACTGTTTGTTGGATTCAAATGGGGGTTTTTCATTCCATACATAGGCGGATCCAGGATTTTCAAAATGGCGGACCTAGAGAGACACATCGAAAAAAATAAGTGGACCCATCAGTAAAAAAATCTGTTATATTATTCGACTTGAAGTCCCGAGAGGGACAATGCTGCATTTATGTTATTTTTGTAATTCCATGTACAACCACAATGCATCATGTTAGTCAGGTTATTTTGATTAAGGTGCTTTTGGATACATTATTTATTTATTTGCCAGTCGTAGTGTCATTTCGTATATTTTCGAAATCCTAAACCCCCGTCCAGAATATTAAATAGTCGTCCCCTTTTTACGATTAAAGGACAAAAAACAAAAGCAATGAGTATATCAGGCCAATTTAAAAATATGGTATTTTATTTCACAGTTATATTAACAGATGAAAAACAAAAAGTATAAATATAACATTGGCAGTAAATCGTCTAATTTATTATATGACATTGCTTTTTCAGTTCGTCATCGACTTATGAATTTGAATATTGCTTTGGTATCTTCCGCCTCTTCTTTTATTAAAATAACATTGTACAATATTAAAGTTATTTGAACTCGCTCCAACGATAAATTTAAAAGAATTTTGATGTACATTAATTGTCTGGAATAAAATTTAATTATAGACAGAACATCTGTTCATACATTTCAGCTGACGAACACCCGTGGTTCAAGCAAACAGAAGTTCGTGTTTTAACAATGTTTAAATTTCAAACATGAGAAAGTTGTGATTTCAAATTTCAGGCAATATAATGTCACGATTGAAGATTTCAGCCAATAGAATCTTGTGATTAAGTTATGGTTCATATTCGGCAAACTTTAATCAGATAACAACCTTTACACTGTCGTTGTGTAGAAACACTGTTGCTTTTGAAATTGTGGCAACGATTACAATATTAGATAAACAACTGATTTTTATTTCTTTTTAACACAAGCAATTACAATATTTCTTTTGTTTTTAACTATGAGGTTCTGATTTTATTTCTAAACATAATTGATTTCCGAATGGGTTTGTTTCCAAGCAATATTACTAGAGTGTCTGCAAATGGGATTACTGACTTGATGTATATACATGAAATTCGTCTAAAAATGGAAAGTACGTCGATGTTAAAAAATACCAGAAATAGTACACAAGAAGAAATATTTAGAATAGTCAATGTAAATAAATTCAATGCATTTTTCAACAATTGGGTGTACATAAGATGATCGGCTAATTGTAAATGTTTTGAATTTTTCATTTTGGTAATTGTGAAAGAAAATATCCCAACTTGAAATACAGCATTAACAACAGTTACTACACCATACAACGTCGCTGCCGTTTTCATATCATTACGATCTAGAAAACACGCTAAATACGTTGGAGAAAAACGAAATGTCAACAGCTGTGGCACATGTGATTATTGGGAATAGTATAATGAAAATAAAACACAACATTAAATACATTATCGTCTTCTCTATAGAGAAAAGGCGCTCGTACTTGAAAGGGAAGACAATATATGTGAACTTTTCAATTGCTGCTAAGGTTAACAGGATATGCGAAAGGAACATAGAACCTAGTACTAAAAACGAATATAATTTACATGTCGTTCGATTCAGCCATATTATCCCGCTTAACATCATACCGGTAGATGTCGTAGTGAACTCTGCATGACATAATGTTTCTAAAATCAACAATACACACAGCAGAATGTTGGCTTGATTTTGTAGTTTGGGTTTGCACCATACTGATCGAACAATTGAAAAATTCATTGAACTTATGAATGATAGGATATAAGTAAAAAAAAGCTGCTTGAATAAGAACAAGCCATTTGAATTGATCGAATGATTCAAGATAGTAGAAATCAGCTTTCTGAACTGCTACACTTATGTTTTCCATATCTAATTCCGTTGTTCCATACAAAATCCGGTCAAATATCTGATAAAATATAAGAAAACGAGAAAATGTCAATTGCTAGTGACGAATAATGTCTTGGTAAATAGTAATAATTCTTCTGTGATTGAACTTAGCTTTAATTGCTTAGGGCTTATCATAATTCATTTATTATAAATAACAGTTCATTCTTATTAATGTTTTCGGTATTTATGAAAAAAATAAGATAAAAAGATAAACAATTTGATACTGCCTCATTTTTATAAGAAAAAGTACCAGTTTCTTATAACGAATGAAAACTCGCCAACTTTGATTACACAATACTAAGTGATGTTTTGAAACCAAATATGGTTGTCTACTGAATACTCATTTTAAATGCATCAGAGCACAGGTTACTTCGATTTACTTCGGATGCACCTCATTAAAATTTAAAATCGAGGCAGTAGAAACGGAGAATATGTATATAGAACAACTCTACCAGAGGCGGATTTAGAGACCCTCCTTGTGGAGCTAAACATATCAAATACATGTCCAACTCCTAACATTGCTTAGTTCGCCGTAAACTATAGGTAGGTATATTTCTGCATATGCATACATCAGTAGTATACATATTTAAATGCAAAACAATATATGCACAAGAAAAGAGAGAAAAAAACTTAAAAGAAAGATGGAATTATAATTTTACAATCGTCTGTGTTTTATGTTCAAACTGTTTTGTTGTTTGATGTTCTATTGAAAGTTTTTAAAAATAATCTTATTCTGAATATCAGACAATTTTGCATTGTAAATTTGCTTTCACGGTACTACAACCCGTCGATACTTATAGTTTGGCATTGCACAAGGTCATGTTTTTTTCTGACTGTTAATGACGTCTTTACACTAAATCCATTGGATGTTGGATGTGTACTGATTGATATTTTAGCCTTAGATACATGATTTTTTTATTAGTTGTTATTGGCTTTGAACTAGCTGTCAGTAACTGCGAGTACTCTCAGATCTGTACTTAGTGTCTTTTTGTTGTGGGGATGTATAAGTACCCGTCCACGTCCACTCTGTGTTTTTGTTAGATGTATTTCTATTTGTATCCATCAGATGAGTTAAGCCTTTTTCGACTGACGTTTATAGTTTGTTCTTATGTTGTACCGTTACACCCCGTCCCAGGTTAGGGGGAGGGTTGAGCGCTCACAAACATGTTTAACCCCGCCACATTCTGTATGTGCCTGTCCCTAGTCAGGAGCTTGTGATTTAGTGGTTGTCGTTGGTTCATGTCTGTCATATTTGTTTTTCGTAAATTGTTTTGTTATAAATAGGCCGTTAGTTTTCTCAATTGAATTGTTTCATATTTTGTTATGTCGGGGCCTTTTATAGCCGACCATACGGTATGGGTTTTTCTCATTGTTGAAGACCGTACGGTTGCCTATAATTGCTTACATCCACTTCATTTGAACTTTGGTGGATAGTTGTCTCATTGGCAATCATACCAGATCTCCTTATTTTTATAAAGATCATCTCTTAATAAAATAGTTTCGGTTGTCAATTCTGATAAACAAGAAGTGATACTTTTAGAATTCTGCATGATTCTATATAAAGAACACACTCTAAAAATTAATGAATAACATCTTCAATTTTAAACAGGCGTAACCTGGTGTCTAATTTTGCAAAATTAGCACGCAACTAAGTAGCATTCAGATTGCTGCTGCTGTGTCTGAGCCTAGTGTGAATAACATCAAGAACCCGGTCTCCAACTAAATGAAATTTTAGATGCTGGTGTTGTTACTAGGAAAATAACGTATTATAGCTTCAAGCTTGTTCAAAGCCCGAATTGTAGAGAGGAAGAATAAAAGAGAGTTCGAACACAGTTGCAGCCTAATGACTGGAATTCAATAATATTTAATTGGTTTCGTAGCTAGGCTATATTGATTATACAGTGGCAAAAAAATCTCTTGGCAGTCACTCATGTTTGATTGTGTAATAGCATATGGTTATGAATTTTGTAAAATATAAGTTATTGACTTAAGAGACGATGTTTGACAAATGATAACATTTTTGCTGATTATCTTAAAATCTATGATACATACAAACAACCTGTAAACAACAGTAGGATATACATTATCCACAAAAATGCCAAAAAACTGAAACCATTAATTAACGCCTTATATTATAGCAGGTTTTGCCTTTGAACTAATATTTATGTTAATAAAATGTTGTCTTTGATTCCTTTTTTTTTAGAAATTGACATGACTAAAACGCGAACCGCATAGAGGACCTCAAAATGAACTGTGACGTGAACAGTAATGACCACATTACCATTCGCACAACATAGAAGTTTATCATGAACAAATAAAGCGAAAAAAATATTTTTGTCCACACCAATTATCCGACTGGAGCATTAAGTTTTTGTGACCCCGTTAAGCAACCCAACTAAAAATATTTACATGCTGTACCTGTTATGTATACAATAGTTGGCTAATTGCAGGATTAACATTTGTTTTTTCCTCTTCCATCCACTTCATCTGAACTTTGGTGGATAGTTGTCTCATAGGCAATAATACCACATCTCCTTATTTTTATATTTGAATTTGTCATGAAATAGAAGTTCCATCATAATATAAGTTCCAAACGGCCGGAAGATATATTCTGGAATATTAGTTCCCCTGGAACAAATATATATATAACAGTATGTGTTCCTAACGGAATAAATGGTATGGAATACTTGTTCCAGCAGGAACAGATATCATGGAATGGTTTATAACAAAGTTTCCAGGGGATCTTCTGTTAGGCGGAACAAATAGAAGTTGACAAATTAACGTGTATATCCCATGTCAAAACCGGCTCAATTTTAAAAAGAAAGTACAATGATTAAATAAATCAGTTTCATTTTCATTTAAATATTTTATTTGAAATTTGTCTTTCTCAGTTCTTATGTTATTAAGGGTACACAGAAAATAATAAAAACCAAAATATTTGTCTTACCTTTATTTAATAGTAATGGATTCCAATGACAGTAAAATAAAATGGAGCCAAGTTACTTATTGATATGTAATAAAGGAAACTAAAGACATCTGTCAGAGTATCTGCATGTCAAATGACAATAATTAAAAATGATCAACAATTCGTTTATACATGTATGATGGTTGATCAATGTTCAATTATGAGATATTTTGCGATTGGACGAAAAAACGAATTGCCACACCCTTTGGTGAAAATCAGATACAAAACATCACGTGTTCTGTAAATGGTCACTACAATCTCAACTTGCGCTGTATTATTGGGTCTTCCTACCTTTCTTTGGTGAGAACTTCCGGTTTTTTTCTGATAATAATATTTGCGCTGATTTTGTTTTTGTTTCGCAATATGTCAATAAACATATTTTTTATATGATATGCAACATGTTTTGCTCATTTGAAACCGTTCCCCCTTTAAGCAAACAGTTTTGTTTCTTTTTTAATTTTCAAACAGCTGACTTAACATGCTAAAGTTATCGTCAATGTATTTCTCAGGAAAATAGTATATAATGGTTTTCACCAGGAAACTTACAGTTTTGGCGAGTATGGATATTTAATAATACGGTTTCTAAATGAAAAGTTTCATTGTGAAACTGACCAGATACAATAGAGTTTGCAGAAATATTTATTCTTTCAAATGTTCTGAAAAAAAATCTAGCATCGATAACAGATGAACTTATAACTAGAAACAGTTGTAGGCTGCCGGAATAGTTATTTTCAATCTTCCATATAGGGGTAAATTCAGTAAAAAATCTCCCATTGACTTTACTGCAAATCTATGTCATGTATGTCTTGAAATAAATTTATACCAGATTTACCTTTAGAAATCAGAAGCTTTCATATATCATTCATTAAAGTACAAATGTAGGCCCATCTTTTGCAACAATAAAAACATAGGGTCATGCGGCATTTTTGGGCATTCACATGGCCTTGTTTACAAATACTGTAGATTCTCAGTTAATTCCTATTCTGACCCCCATTACTTTTCAACCCTCTAATAAAAAAATTAAGTGCATTCAGCATTCTTTTTTTTTTTTTTTTAACTTGAGTATTGATCCATCTTCCAAAAAATATTTATTACAAACATTATCTACCAATCAAAAGAGCACAGGAAGCTCTCCCCCTAATGGGCGGTCCCTGATGACGTATATTTATTTACTGAATTTACCCCTATAGAAACTCAATCTTGTATTGTTTTCTAGGGAAATCATACTGTGCTCCTACAATTTGACGGTTACAAAAATGTCATCAGAGAGCAGAAAGTATTACTCCTTCGAATCATACAAACAAAAATGTTTTGAAGTCATGAGAATATCATTTTGATCAATTAAAAATATTTTTTATATTTAAAAAAAACAATAACATTTTTTTAAGCCAAACTTATGTTTTTGATATAGGGATATGTTTTTAATTCTTAACGATACATGATCTGCTGTCTTGTAATGTATATATATCATTTTTGACAAAGAAGATACAAAAAAGACAGAAGCTACCAAAGAGATAATTAAAATTCATAAGTTTGAGAAAACCCGACAAAAAAATGCCAAAAAATTTAATGAAAAACGATAAAAAGACAAACCACGTATATCACCCGCTTCACATGGAATCGTCGTGTTGCTTATTGCACATAAGTCTCATTTGTTGATGTCGTTATTTGGGAAAAGAGGGTTATATTTTTGCTACGTTATTACCATAATTGTTCTCTTGGAAACCTCTTCCTGGAGGATTTCTTGGGAAATCTGACAGTGTAAAACGTAATTTCCGGACGGATTTCTCAGAGAACTGACAGTGTCAAACGTAATTTCATCTTAACGTCAAACACCATTTCCTCAAAACGAATTCTCAGGACACTGACAGTGTTAAATGTAATGTTACATGTATTGTTAAATGTTATTTCCTCAAAACTTTCCTGTGGAAACTTCTTAATGAAGGGTTTCCTGAGGAAACGGACAGTGTCATTATTCAATTTAACGTTTTTCAAATTTCATGCCTGTACAAAGTCAGGAATATGACAGTTGTTTTCCATTCGTTTGATGTGTTTGAGCTTTTGATTTTGCCATTTGATAAGGGACTTTCCGATAGGAATTTTCCTTGGTGTTCGGTATTTTTGTTATTTTATTTTTTCCTTATAAATTTTCAGTTGGAAGCTTTTAAATAAAGGATTTCCCCGGAAAACGATTGCAATGTTTACTGTTTCAATGTCATTTTGCTCAAAAGATTATTTATTATATTTTTGTTACATAAAAAGATATTGTAGGTCTGAAACATAACCGCATACAGTTATCATGCCAACAAAAAGATCAAAAGATAAAATAAAATTCCATTTAATGCAGTCTCCAGACTGTCCGCTTCGCAAAATGCCTATTTTGAGCTATTCTTTAATGATATGTGTAGTATTGACTTATCATGCGTTTCTCGTTTCGATTTATTAATACTTTATTAAAGTCACGTGTAGCATGTCGTCACATATCTATCTATATTTTAATCTTCCTGGTACATGAACTTCCATTCTGTCAGGTAAAATATTTTAAACCGTTCAATTAATTTGCATGTAAGTTCCAAGCTTTCATTAATTAAATCACACTCAATGTTATATTTACCTACCAATACGGAAACGTACTAAAAATGTGAACAATTTAATTGCTATATTTTGTAAAAAAAGGGCGTCAATTTTTGAAGACTCAGTGACCTTGGCATTAGAGACGATATGTCTCTGATTACATGTTAAACAACTTTTCTGGGATATTGTATTGGTGTACTTTATGCAAGAATTAACTAAACACTTGGGATAGGAATGACCCGGGCTTTATCGTCACCCTCTTCGTCAAACATGTCAAATCAGCCTACAGTTTTATCTTTATGTCATTCGTCACATCATATTTTTGTGCTACCGGTAGTGTCAAATGGAGATACGCGTTTTTCATCAAAATCAATATGACTAAAAATACCATCAATCGTGATGTAGATATAAAAATACAAATTTTAAAAATATTTTGCAAATGGCTTATTAAACTAAATAGATCGGTACGAAGCACACAAAATTTACCCAAAAAACCAAGTAACCTACTAACATAAAAAAAAGACACAAAGCACCGATATCAGAGTACTCGGAATAACGAAAATCAATGTCATAGACAATTACAACTAATAAATAAATCAAACAGTGACTAGATAGGAAATAAGCCTTTTTATTGAAAATTTACGTACCTGCGTTTTCTTCATGACGTCACAAATAGTACTCCTTTTAATTTTTCACGAAAAATTCAATGAAAATGGGTAAATTTCCATTGATATTTGACAGAAAACTTAGAGCGCATAGGTCGACAAAAAATGTCTTTTAAAATAATGTTTGCAAACACATTTTACATGTATAACTTGAATATTTAGTTTGTCGACGTCTGCGCTCTATGTTTCCTAATCCTAAATTTGGTTGAAATTAGGCCGATTTTGTCAAATTTCGCCAAAATCTCCTATCTTGACCTATTTGGGAATTAAAAATCAATGCTTTAGAATAAAACTTTGACACAAATAGTTCTATTAAACTTCCTCATATGTCTTTAAGTCAACTTGAAACATTTTCTTTTTCTTGTAACATTGAACTTTATAATGGGGGCCAAATAAGGCCCTTACCAAACATACTCCTTTAGACATTGTGTATATTTACTAAGAAAACCCGAGTTTACGTGTTTATTTGATTAAAATTTGTTGTTATAAAATTTTGGAAATCATTCTAAATTAAAGGAATATATCTCCCTCATGCGTAGCTCTGATTCCTTGTCCGGATTTGACTATACTTTAGGTCTTTTTTTGTTTTATCAGCTCTTCAACATTTGTATTAGGTTTTGGATTTTCCAAATTTTGCCTCGAGCATCACTACAGAGATATTAATTGTCGAATTGCGCATCTGGTGCAGTAAAACTGGTATTGTTACCGTTAATGTAAATACACTGATAGCAGCAATCGCTGGCAAGACACAGTTTTCAGCGAAACATTTGGCGAAGATTTGTCCCGTCTACTTAGTTTTTACCGTCGGTAGGCAGTAATAGGTCACTATGCGTTTCGTGTTGAAATTGCTTTGTTGACATCTATATTCCAAACTCACAAAAAGTGTTAAACATTAGCATTTGTTTATGTTGCTCAAATCTTGTAGAACTAACCAATCTTTGATATGTTATCCTTGTAAGTTAATTCACTATATTGTATTGTTTTCCTCATTGTTGAAGACTGTTTTGTAACCTTGTTCACATCCTGGTCTAATAGAAAGTTGTATCACTGACAATCATACTTCATTTCTGAATTTAAGCTGTCATGGCAAAAAGGACTTTTCTCATCATTTGCTTTCGTTGTCCGTTTACATTTACTACAATCTTCTCTAAAACTACTGGGCCAATTGGAACTAAACTTAACCACACTCATCATTAGGGTACATAGTTTAAAAAAAGTAGATGACAGTCCGGCTGCAAACTTATATGGCCGCCAAGGTGGAAATAGGGATTAAAAGCAAGTTTTGTCTATTATATTGAAAACAACTGTAGATAGGGAAAAAATTACGGTAGCCAAAATGCTTCCGAGAATGTGAAGGGTTATCAACGGTCTATTTGGACAAAAAAAATTCGGACGACTCCTCAAACGAGTTATCGGTAGTTTTGTTAACTACTTGAGTTATTCCCTTAAATGACGATGTTTTTCATGTTGCCCTATCATCTTTGAATCTATTAAAGATTCAGAGAAACAGCATGACATGATATACAAATTAGTCAATGACAGAAATCATCGACCGACTCCTTATTGGAGTTATTGCCCTTAAATGACGATTTTTACTTATTTTTCTTTTTGCGTTTTGCCTTTTATCTTGAAAACTACAATATAAAGAGAGAAACCATACACGGCGAAATTGATCAGCAAAACAAGATCTACAAATAAGTCATGATCGCTAAAATCATCAGTCGAACCTTACAGAAAATGTTGCCCCTAAAACAGAGGCGTAACATATCAAAGGGTAATCAAACCCACAAGTCGAAAATAAAATGGCAAAGCCATGTCGAAAGACAAAAAACGACCAAAAGACAAAAAAAAAATCTACCAAACACAACATAGAAAACTGCAGACTGAACAACACAAAACCCACCAAACACCAAGAATGATCTCAGGTGATATGGAATTAAGGGTATGAAGAACCTGCTCCACATATGGCGATTTGTACATGTTGTTAGGAGTTATTGCTCTTAAGGATGTATAGTCATGTCAGGTTTAGGAATTTTTGTCAGATGTTTGGACTCCTTAGGTTTTATCCTACGATAGAGGGTAAAATATTTTGCCCCATATCACTCACTTTTCTTTTCATAAAAGACCCCAATAGCTAATAAAAGGTCATTTACCAAAATTTAAGCAGATTCTAGATTTCTTTTCTTACGATTTGAGACCCAAATAATGCCAATGCTAGATATACAGTAAAAGTCCGAGTTAGCATTTTCCCGCCATTTTAAAAAAATCAAATTTCCCGAAAAGGAGTTCCATAATTTATCAATATTTTTATCGTATTTTACTAATGCCTTTCTGATTAATAGTATCAATTCTAAATTACAGATTTTTTTTTATGTCACCATTTTTGCGTTTTAAAAAAATTTTAAAAAAAACAACAACAAAAACTATACATCATAGAGGGAAATTATAAACAGCCAAATTATCAGCAGGACTAAATTTAGAAAAAGGTCAATGTAGCCAAAATTATCAGTCCACTTCTTATAGAAGTTATTGCCGTTTACTGCCGATTTTTACCTGTTTTTTGCATTGTGGACAATATTAATCTATAGGAGAAAGAGATATTGTAAAAAGAAAAGTGATCAGCAATATAAGATCAACAAAAAAAGCTTTAAGTCATAAGTTTTATATATATTCGATAATGTTTGAGAGTTGTCATTCTAGTTATTAGTTATCAAAAATTGTGTCCAAACCAAACACATGACAAACATGTATTACTTGGAAAACGTAAACAAATTGAGATATTCTAATGAATGAAAATGAAATGGTATTTGGAGGTAGACTTTTTCAACAAATTGTCGGCATTCCTATGGGAACGAATTGTGCGCCTCTTTTTGCCGACCTCTTCTTATTTTCATATGAGTCGGAGTTCCTTCAGACATTTGTCAAAAACAAGAAGATCAAAGAAGCCAGATCATTTATTTTCACATTCAGATGTATTGATGATGTCCTTTCCATTAACAATCCAAACTTTTCTGATTGGGTTCCTACAATATATTCTCCAGAACTAGAAATTAAAGAAACAACAGACACGGCTTCCTCTGCCTCATTTTTAGACTTATACCTCGAAGTTGACATAAGCGGTCATCTCAGTACCAGAATCTATGACAAACTAGACGATACCAAGACCTTGTTGATAAATATTCCGTATTAACTTCACAAATAATACATGGTGGTCTTGAAGTATAGATTCTAGGTACTGACGTTGTTTATCATCTTAATTACGTGTTATAGTGTTCTTTTATTTGTCTTTGTAAATTATTAACCTTTACTCAGGAGTATACAGAACGCTTGCTTTCCGATTCAATCGCCGGTAACGCTTGCTTTCCGATTCCGGAAACGAGTACTTTCCGATATTGCAAATGAAAGTTACAGAGAGGGTTGAAAGGTAGGTTGATACAATCTTAATAAACATGATGAATTACCAACTTTTTTGAATGAAATTTAAGTTGACGGAACAAAACAAATAACTAGGTTCCAGATTCATAATTTATTGTTTCTTTGAATGATAAAAGAAAGTTATTTCGTTTACTCCAAAACTGCGTTGTCTTGTAAAACAGACTTTGCAGCCAAACATATCCAAATTTTAACAATCTCATCCATAATTATCAACTTTTTCAACAAAAGTTTTCTTTAAAAAAGGTTGATATATCCTTTTTATACAAAATATAAGACTACAAATGGGTTTATTCACCGTTTTTCTGAATATCGACGTGATACGCTTACTTCGAGATTTAAGGGATACAAGTTCAGTCAAATATATTATAGTTAGAAATGTTTCATTGTAGAAAATATTTCCATTAGGGAACGATCATTTAAATATGAGGGGGGTTATGCTTTTTTTTCCTAAAATATATTCTGATTCCCAACTTTGAAGAAACAAATATTTTAATCAGGGAGGACAGAAATGTTCTGATTGAGAGTTTTTGCCATCAAAATATATTTTAAGTTCTTCAAACAATAAATAATGTAATGCTTGTCTGGTACGAAAACGGATTTTAGAATTAAAAAAAACATAACCCCCCCCCCCCCCCTTTTCAAAGTTATATGGTTGTTCGGAGTATTGGTCAGATAACAATCATTTAATGTACATGTATTAAACCCTTACTCTTATGCGGGTGTAGTTATATTTAGTATCTTTTCCGTAACAGATTAAACCTGTTTTTTTCGCCAAGAAAATGTAATAACTAAAATATAATTTAATTTAAACACGCAAGAACCAGAAACCTTTTACCCTTCTGAAACACATGAGTTTCACCCTGTTTTTACGTACCTAAATTTTTCTCGTGTCCTTATATAGTTTTTAGTGTGAAATTGCCCCTTATTTGTTGTTGTTTGTTTTTCTTGCCCGAGTTTAACTTTTGTTTCTAAATTTCACCATTCATCATTCAAGATACTTATAATAGTTATTCTGTACACAAAAAAAAGTATAACAATCTGATAATGTATGACATATTTACTCAGTTGAAGTTATATGCATATATATTCTATATAATAGTCATTTCCGCAAATCGTCAAATTGCCTTCAGTCATGTATATAGAGTCATTTAGCTTCCACGTCTATAATCAGGCAGCGTGCCATTTAGTAACATTGGCATATCTTGAATTTATGTTTGAAATAACTGTATCAGGTATTATTTGTTTTTATTGATTTCAGTGAGCTGGGTCTCATTATTGAATCGTATTTCTTAAATAAAGAAAAAAACAAAGTCTTTTAAGCATGCAAAATCTCTTTTCATATGTGTTTGAGCTTTTGATTTTGCCATTTGATAAGGGACTTTCCGTTTTGAATTGTCCTTGGGATACGGTATTTTTGTTATTTCAACTTTTTTTTAAATTAACCAAATAATTAAAAAAAGACCTGAAAAAATACATTCTTGTTGACGAATTAAAGAAGAATTTGACCAGTTGCCGAAAAAGTAAGGTGTCAATCCGACTTATTACCTCCGCTGTGTCGTAGGAGGGTCAGGATTTTTGGGGGAGGGGGGGTTCCTTCAGTTCTGTATTATTAAAGTTTGTACCATTTTTCTCAATTCTTTATTTATTTCGCCCATTATATTCTATTCTTTATATTTTAGAACCCCATTTTTCTCTATTCTTCATTTTTTTATTCTCTATTTTGTAAACCTCATCCAGACCCTCTCGTAGGGTGTGACTTCATATATACATAAAAAAAAACAAAAAAACAAATATAATAATCTGCCCGTGATTTGATGTTCGACAAATCGTTCTATCTGAAAGAAGTCGTTCCCAGAACGACGCTTGAAATAAACAATCTGAAAGACATCGTTTTCTGGTTGGTTTTTTTTTCAACCGGTATTTATGACTAGACTAAATGAATTTTAGTTTATGGAATAGTAATAACGAAAGGAAGGCAAATAAATGATTTTGAAACTGGCTTAATTTAAATGTTTTAAACAGCTACATACAAAAGAAATGCATTCTTGTGTTCAATCGTGTACAGATTTGCGTTTGTGGTACCGTTTACGATCTGATTAAACATTTTCATAATGACATGCATAACATTTTTATCCAACTAAAATAGCTGTAGTGTTCCGTGAGATACAAGAGAGAACAACACAAACAACGCGTTTAAAGAATCATCCATCCTCATATCGTATCTCCTGCTTCTTTGTCATCAAAAATCTCAAAGCAAGCGTTACGCGTATCGGAAAGCAAGCGTTACCGTCAATTGAATCGGAAAGCAAGCATTCTGAATATACACCGTGTTACTGTTTAGTCCATTTTTGGCAATATCCTTTTGGCGTGGCTCGGTACTTATGCATCCCGCCATTGTGTTGTTGTGCTGTGGTAAATTTTTGTATTCTTGTCTTTCATTTTTGCTTATGTGCTTTGTCTATATGCCATTTTGTTTTTCTTTGATGACATATTTGTTTGTTTTATAGTGATTAAGATTATAACACAATGCTGACTGCTGTACCCCTATTTTTGACCTTTTTACCTATTATGTCTGTTTGTTTTGTTCACACATTTTTGTCAATATAATGGAATTTTATGCGACTATCATACAAATGAGAGGTTTAGCTAGCTATAAAACCAGGTTTAATCCACCATTTTCTACATAAGGAAATGCCTGTACCAAGTCAGGAATATGACAGTTGTTTTCCATTCGTTTGACGTGTTTGAGCTTTTGATTTTGCCATTTGATAAGGGACTTTCCGATTTGAATTTTCCTTGGAGTTCGGTATTTTTGTTATTTTACTTTTTGTAAGAGTAAACCTATTGACGTAAAGTGTGCTACTACTATGGTGTGTTTAACCTTAAACCATTGTCGTGACGTCATCCTTTTCATTTACCGTGGATTCTTTTTTCTAGAATCAACGCTTCCTAAATCTGTCGCTGAAATGGACTCCTCAGGTTATATTCAATTGTTTCCTTTGTGTACCTAATTTCATTAAGTTTGAATTGGCTAATTTACTGATTTCTGTTCACTAATGGAATCAATTTAAAAACTTACCTTTAATTTTTGTAATTTTTATATGCGTTCACTGGGAATCGAACCCCTCCTTGAAATCTATTATGTGTGGCTGTTATCAACACATCGACGAAACGGCTACCAATGGGTTGCAATTTAGATGTGTATTTTATATATATAAATGAACATATGATACACATCGGTACAACGAACACACAGGTCTTGTACCTTTATATATACATAATAGGCAATCGTATAGTATAAGTTGGTAGCCGCGAAGTTAGCATGGTTAAGATCAATGAGTTAAGTCAAGTTAAAGGCAGGGACTTGTCGGTTTAGGTTCGAATCCCTGTACTTTCTTTGTTGTCCCTATCTTTAGTTTTTCTGTTTTTCTTATTGTGTATGTTATTGTTGATATTTTTGTAATAATATCGGGTTTTACCGTTTATTTTTGGATTATTATTGGCTATTTCACATATTTGAAACGAAAATGATTACATTCAATTTGTCCATTTTTGTTTTATAAATATAGTATGATTTCATCTGTTTTACTACATAATTTAACAAATGTTTATTCGCAAATTCCTATGCAAGTAAATCGTGAAGTGCCTAGAATTAGGCTTCTTGCTAGAAATTTTGGTAACATACTTATTATATAGACTAAGAAATAAATTCGAATATGTCTTATTTTGTAAACACGGATAATTTTCAGATGCCTGATAATTTAAAGACAGATGTTTTGTATATATTTGTATTTCTCTAACCAATTAATTGTGAACTTATATTAATTAATGCATCGTTGAACATGATAACATGGTTATTTAAACTCACTTACAATAACTTCTAATTAAGAAAAGACTTTAATTATTTTGAAAAGACATTATCACAATAGTTTAAGTTATAGATACAATGAATAAGCGTTTGATTCATGAAAAACAAATCATTCGACCACCGGGCTCATGGTTTCTTTTTCAAGAATCAACGCTTATTCATTGTGTCTATAATACATAAGTGTCTCGCCCGGTCGGCCCTGGCTTACGACTTTTTGGGCTTTTAAATAATATATTTTTACCTTATGGCAATCAATATAATTTAGAGAGACAAAAATATTACATTATTATTGTAAAACAAGAATAAAAATAAAATAAAGAATGATTTGATAAAAAAAATAAATGAATAAATATTGATAGATTATATCATTAATGTGCAATTTTAATTTGGTTAATTGTTTTGCAATACTATAGATTATTATAATTTTAACACCCTTTTCAACAATAGTACAATATCATTATTATAGTTTAAATTCCGTTTTTAACAATATATCATAGAACACTACAATACAGCATTTAACGCATGTAACGCATATAGTAATCGCTATTGATGACCTGATTTCCCCTTGCTTGATTAAAAGCTAATGCAGATGAAAGATATAAGGAAGATGAAGAAGCCTATTGATTATAAGGATCAGTATGTCAAAAGGTCACTTGCTTGATTGGACAGATGTTAGATAAAGGGAATCGGTTAAAAACCTATTGATTTTGAGGTTACTAGGTTAAAGGTCAAGGTCACAGTTACTGAAACATATATATTAATGGTAGAGTCGAGTTTCAGTTCCTTCATTGAAATGAAACTTATACAGATAGAAGAAATAGGAAATGGGTTAGCCTAGTATTGATTTTAAGTCATCAGGTCAATTCCGATGTTACTAAAAAAAAATTTGTCGGTTTTCGGATGGTATCCCACTATGTATTTTAACACATTTAAAAAGATGTAAACATTAGCAATATTGATACCTCCAAGCATACTAGTTTTCTAAACCCTTGAAATAAGAATTAAATGGATGTGCATTTTGGGGTGCATCAGTTGGCAGTGCCAGCTTTGCACTTGTTTTATATTGACGTAAATAGGCTCACGGTCTTTTTATATTTTATTCAGAGCAAAGACTAACATGGCATCATCCAGCACAATCATATGCGGTGTTTGTGAATCTCAGCACACGACAATAAAGGCGGACTTTTGGTGTCCTGAATGTGACGAAGGACTGTGTTCCCAGTGTCTGAAGCATCACAATGCATCAAAAGCCACACGTACCCATGGTGTTATATCTGTTGACAGGTATAAACAATTACCTCCCTCGATAGCCAATATATCCCAATACTGTTCACTGCATGAAAGAAAATTCCAGAATTATTGTCCGCAACATGAAAGTCTTTGTTGTCCACTGTGTATTCAGTTAAACCATGCTACCTGTAATGGGATATTATCGCTGGAGAATGTCATACAAACAGCAAAGACGTCAGCTTTATTGGAAATTCTTGATCAAAACATCAAAAATCTCAAAATGAATGTCGAGAGAGTTGTGGAAGATCGGAAACAAAATCTGCATGAAATCCAGAAACAAAGGCATAAGTTTTCTGACGATATAAAACAGGTCCGTAATAAAATTAACGAACACCTTGACAGCCTAGAACAACGAATAGTTCAAGACCTATATGCTGCCGAAACGAAAGTTAAATCCCAAATTGAGGTCTTGCTGGATAAACTTGCTGACAATTCAGAAAATATTAATTCAATGCAAAAAAATATTTCAGCTATCAAAGATTATGCGTCAGATCTACAAGCATTTCTTGGGAGTAAAATGATGGAGACAGAAATTCAAAAACATAAAATATTTATGCAGTCATTATTTGACGATGGAAGTTTGCGGAAGATGGACATACACTGTAAAATTGAGGACAAGATAACCGACGTATTGTCAACTGCTTCTTTACTAGGTGAAATATCAATCGAATCAAGCTCTCCATTAGTGGTTATGATGACAGAGAAAGAAACACAAGCACAGACAAGGTCTTTGAAACACGTGCCATCGTTAACTATCAATGATATAACAATGACATTACAAAAAAAAATCAAATTTTCTGGTATCACAGGATGCACAACTTCGTCTACAGGAGACATCATCCTGATAGACTACGCTAATAAACGTGTCCTGATTTTAAAGGAAGATGGAAACTGGAAGAGTGGGATACCTCTTTCACTTTTAAACCCAGTTGATGGTACCTGTATCGATGACAAGGCAGTTGCTGTTTCATTTCCTTATTCATATCAAATACAAGTAATAACTATTTCAACTAAAAGAGTTGAACGCAGAATAAAAACCAACAGCCAATGTTTTGGTTTATGTTGCTCTGATGGCTACTTGTTGTACTGTGATACTGGCAGAGGAATTCAGAAAGTAAATATGACAGACAATTGCTCTTCTACTTTGGTTAAAGACAACACCTTGTCCGTATGGAGTTATGTAGCAACATCGAAAGATAATATATTTTATACCAATAGGTCAAACTCCACCGTAACATGCTGCTCATTGGCTGGAGAGAAGATGTGGAAATATGCAGATCAATCAGTTCGTTCTCCGTTTGGGATAGCTGTAGATAAAGATTCAAACGTGTATATTGCTTCAGATAGTAGCAACAGTATATTTGTATTGTCGTCGGATGGAAAACAAGCAAGACAGCTGGTAGGACATAATGAGGGAATTGATACCCCTCGTGGGCTCGCATTTGATGTTAAGAAAGAAAAAATAATAGTTGCTAATTATGATGAACCTAAATTGTACAGACTATGTTAAGACTCAAATTATGATTAGTAATACGTAGTTTACAGTTTACAGTTTCAGAGCAGATGTTGGTCAAATATTAAAATATGTCTGAAATCAATTGAAATGAAAATAAATCAAATGCAGAATTTTTATTTTCTTTACTTCATTGTATTGCTTTTTTAAGGTGTAATAACATATATGTTGAAATACACGTTTTACCTGGTTATTAAATAACTCGTTTCCGAGGAAGGTAAATCCAGAAAAGCGCGTCGGTCGCACCAGATTTATGAAAGTTATTTTCCTTTTACACAAAGTAAGCAAAATCACGGATTTTTTTAAAGAATTGCTAATATTTTTGCAATTTTACAAAAGATGATGGGTCATTTTGACTCCTTTTGACCTCAAAATTCACTGAAAATTGTTTTTACTTGACATGCTTTTAACACGGCCGCAATGTATAACCAATTATGTTTGGGTTGCAGCATATGATAAAGATTACTATTGTCACAGGTGATGATGATGATGGGTGGCTGCTTAACATCCAGCGGCAAATTAATATGCATATTCAGGACGAGAACATGTTAATGTAATATGAAAATTAACCCTGTTTTGAACTAGACCGACAAGCTGAGCCGGACTTTTAACGTGCTAGTTCACAAGTTAATAGTCCACAGGAAGACATATCACCTTAACCCGGACACATTATTCTGACTCCGAGCCGACCAGTCTTTGCTCTTACTCCTTAATGTCGCGTGCTTAGCGGAAAAGCAGCAAATACCAATTTTAAAGTCTTTGGTTTGACCCGGCCGGGGTTCACCCACGACCTCCCGCACTCGAGGCGAGCACGCTACCAAGAGACCACCTAGCGGTTTGTCACAGGTGAAATGACCGCCAACTTATAACTCTATACTGAGATAGAGTAACAGTTATCACAACACTAAGACTATGGTACAAAAAGGCCATTTGAATACTAGTATGTAACAAGTAAGTGGATTTACGTAAAATAGATTAGTTCAAAGACGAAGTGTTTGTTGCAGTACTAGTACTGTGATCAACTCCTGCTGATTTTATTAAATCCATATTATTTTTTTGTCTATCTTCATTTTTTAATTGTTAAACGTGATTTGATTTTGATTTAAATATCTATAATGTTGGGTTTTTTTTTCTGAACTTTTGAGTAATCCCCCATTTTGGTCACTAAGTTTACATAAGGAGTCGAATTTTGTGGTTAAACAAATAAAACCAGGCCAATTTTGCCACGCGTGTAATTAACGATTACATTCGATTTGTTAGTTATATGCTGTAACTCTGTATTCATACGTGGGGTAACAATTCAAAGTTATGACAAAATAACAGGTTTGATACAACATTTGTACAATGCGGTCTATTTAGATCAGTTACATGGAATGCCTATATCAAAAAGAGTACAACTGATCTTTATTTTTAACACTACAAATTTCATTTACAAATAAGCTTCGTGACTCTGAGGTTCGTGACGAGAAAACAAACCACAGAAAAACACCTGCTCTTGGGAATTTTTTTTTAATTTTGTCTGAAAGAGGATTTCTGTATTTATTTACGGAATAGATATGAAACATCTAAAAAAAAAAAGCAATTATTGTTAACTTAAGAACAAACATGGATATGATTTAGCTGTACTACATGTTCCACAACTTTTAAATGGGTGCTAAGACAAATTCAAATGAGTTTTAAAGCACTCAACTCCAGTTTGAAATGAGATATTTCTGTGGTCATTTTGTTATTGAGTAAAACACAAAGTAAACAATCATATGACTGTGTCAAGAAGACACCATGCTCTAATCGTGATGTATTTCCATTTTAGGATTTCGGACCGTAAGATCGGATCAAAACCTTAATTTGGCATATCATCACAAAAGTTAACACCAAATGAACATGTGCACTAACTATCAAATTGATGCGACAACAACTTCATGGAAAACTTCTTTAACCAAAATTTTAACGGACCGAAGCACAGACAGGAAAACACAATGGTGCCTTCTATCGTAGACTGGGCATAACAAAAAACAGATCGTAACCCTTGGCTAACAAAGATGCTTGTTTATACGTTTTTATTGACTGAATAAATTTTATTGTTGAAATTAAAGAAATGCACATGTAGGCCAGCCAATAAAACAATTATAAGAAGTCAGATAAATAATCATACCATGTGTCATTATCAAACCGCAAGCGTACTCGACTGATAAAGAGCGGATACGTTTTATGAACATTGAGAAAGTTATCTTCATATAAAACTGTTACATTGACCCTCAAAATAGGAGAAGAAAATCACAAATTACAAGAATTACTTGAAAAGACAGACAACGCCATGACGAAAAGAAAAAGATCCAACATCAGACAACAGTCCACAAAGCACAACACAGAGAACCAAAGATTGAGCAACACTAATAGTAACCCTACCAAAAACTATGGGTGATAGTATTCAATGTTCTTGATATCCATTCTCTATTTTCAAACACACTGAGTCAGTTTCTATACACGAATAAAAAATCTCCATAGCTAACTTATGCAAATCTTGTTTTATACCAACCTCAGATATGTGGGCTACGTTTTGGTTATCAGTGAAAAGTTTAACAAATCTATTCCTACAACGATCCGGAAAACTTTTTAAAAAGCACCGTTTGAAGCTCACTCCGCATGGAACCTTCAGCTTTTTTTTTCATGTTTCAACATCTGATGCTCCATTTGATTAGAGAAATGCAAAGCCAGCATCCGCATATGAAATTTAATCAGTATAAGCTAAATTCTCGGGTGTCTGAATAGGAACTGGCAAAGATTTTAGGGAAGAATGCCAAAAATTGTAACTCTTCAATGGACATGAAACACGATACAACCAATGTAAACTAGATGATCGTTTGAATGCATATTTATATGATGGTACCCGTGTCTCAAAACAAACTTCCCCCTTTCAATGTATAAAGAAAATGATCACATTCACCAGTTATCGAGAGCAGAAATTCCTAGGAAGTCGTAAAACCCATTTTTGTGCTCGTCAAGAAGAAAGATGGCTCTCCACGCATGTGTGGATTTTCGTCAATTAAACAACCATTCGATGACAGATGCATATGCTTTGCCCCAAAAAGCGACATTCTGGATTGCATTGACCATCAAGTTGAGATACTGGTCTATCATAGGGAAAAAACAGCATTTACTGTTGGTCCGCTCGGATTTTGTAGTATAACCGGCATATGCTTTGCCCCAAAAAGCGGCATTCTGCATTGCATTGACCATCAGGTTGAGATACTGGTATATCATAGGGAAATAACAGCATTTACTGTTAGTCCGCTCGGATTTTGTATAACCGCATGTCATTCGATTTGACAAATTCACCAGCTACTAGTACTTACAAACGCCCAATACAAAAATGTCTCAGCGACTACCATAAGAACATTTGCTTTATCGTCATTGATGACATGTTTTCCAATTCATATGTGGAACATCTCGAACGACTGAAGATAGGTCTTTGGCATAATACGTATAGAAACAGACACAGAGAAAAATTAGAAAGTGATGTATTGGCCTAATCCAACTACACCAGACGAAGTTCGACGTTTAAGATGATTTCCTGACTACTACCTAGAATGAAAGAGAGAAAACAGCATCCTTGAACGAGTAGAGACTGAGAAAACAGCTATCAATCAGCTTAAGCAGAGTTCTCTCATTACATGTACTAGCTTATCCAGGTTACCATAAGACTATTTACTACGCGCAGATGCCAGTGGTTTAGTTTTGGTAGCTATACTGTATCAAGAGCAAGAACATGAGCACGAGTTATTGTGTATGCAAGTAGAGTATTGTTATGCCTTAGGGTAGGAGATAAGGATGATAGGTTTATATGTGTATCATGTTTTATTCTTTTCTTGTGTTGCTCAGAGATTTCATTTCTACTTTCACTTTTATTTTCGTGTTCCGCTACTCTGAGCTGCACTGTTGTTTATATAATGACCGGAAGAACTATGGAGATGAACATTTTATATTTCAGGTATCGCGGCCGTATTATATTGTATTGTATGTATTATATTATTGTTTATTGGAAATATAGTTAGGACAGGGTTCGTTCTCACTGTTTGACCAGGGGGGTACCTTGACATGTTCCCAGCTTTAGTTTGACCTGTATATCGCTTGTCCCATTCGCTCGCCTGTTTTATTCGATCACGTTAAGGGTCTTTATTGTAACCAGGGTACGTTCCCACTAAGGGTTATCTTTGATAAGCCCATATCTCCCTTTTCCCTCGACAGTTGTACATTCCTATTTGTTTTTGCGCCATCTTCTATATTATTGCCGTGGGAACTTCCGGTTTTAAAGACCAATCGGAATTGACAGAGATGGCCTAGTTCCCAGAGCCCTTTACTATGTATATGTGATTTAATTACCAATCACTACGTTATTTCGCCGGACACACTTATCCCTATAGTAACGGACACACTTTCTGTGTCCGCGGACTTCCGGTACTATATAAACGGTTGTAGCAGAAGATTCCAGGGAGTTCACAGCTCAAGGAACCTTGACCATTTTTTGTTCCATATACCATATAACCAGAGCGAACCACCTGTGAACCATCAGCTTCAAACCATTACCAGGTTAATGTTTACCCCGATTATATATATATATTTATGACCTGACCAAGTGACCTAGATTATTTACTCTAATACTACAACTTTTCCCATGTTTACGCACGACGAATAACGTCCAAGGGGGGTCTCTGTACTGTTTTCCATCTGGGGTTATTTATTTATAACATATATATATTGAATTATGACTGATTAAATAGTCATTGTTAAACTTATAACTGTTTTTGTTATATTTTATCTTATTAAGAATAAGAAACCAGTGTCTTAGACTCCTCAGTCCAGCTACCAAGTTTTGCAAGTTACCATTGCAGTTTCACAATTACCAGTAAAAGTTATTGAAAGGCCTGCTACCAAGGTTGATTTTTATCTCGTGTAATATAATTAAATATACACACACACAAAATATTAAGCTTCGTTATGCTATACCAGAGGCGTTACATTTGGTGACCGGCGGTGGGATTCGATTTATAAACCCAGTTTTTTTTCTTGACATAAAGTGAAACATAAAATTAAGTAAAAGTTTAAATTTTATTAACTCTAC